GCCTTTCAAAATGAGGTCCAATCAAAAACAGTGGTTCAAAGGGGATCAGCAGGGCCAGGTCAATTCAAGGCACAAAGGTCAGCTCAGGTTATGACAGCGACCACTAAATTTAGGGGGTCCCAAGTGAGTAATCTGGATTTCTTTTTTTGGAAGGACATGGGATAATCATGGTGGACTATATAATTTAAGGAAAATTTAAAACTGCATTGGTGAGAAAAAAAGCCCAGGAAATTTGAAACTGAGGCTCCCCCCACCTCCACCGCACCCTCTTCATTGTGACAATGCACCTGCCCCTTTCAGTAGTAGCACGAGCTGTCTTACCAGAATCCCACTAGAAAACCTTCCCCCATTTCACCCTACAGGCCTGGGCATGTCTTTTTTGGGGAGAGGGAGGGGTTGTCACAGAATTCAAAGAACATTGGAAAGGAATATGCTTTGAGTCCCCAAGGTGGCCTTGATGCCATTTGGATGTGGTGTCAATGGCAGAGTGCAGAATTCTTTGGGGGAAGGATTAGCATTGGAAGTATGGTCTCTGGATGTGGGTACACCGGGATAGGTTGTAAAACAATTGTTCTTCACGTGTTGATGTTTTTGTTTAATAAAGGTCTCGATTTTTCATAAGGAAACGCAATGCACTTGAACTATAGTCTGGGCGAAGAGTACTGAAGGTACCATGGACTGGTGGGAAAACCAAACGGATCTGTCTTGGGAGTACAGGAAGAATGCTTGAAGGTAAGGATGGCGGGACTTGGTCCCACGTGGTTTGGGGCATGTTGGCAGAAAAGATAGAACCCTGGAGAAGGATGCCAAGCTTGATACAGAGGAGGGGCGGCCACGGTGGCTTCAACTATGGGCTCTAACAACTGTGAGGAAGGCACAGGACTGGGCAGTGTTTTATGCAGGGCCACTATTGACAGCCCTAACCTGATCTGACTTATAGCCTGGTGCCGGTGAAACCGTTCCAGAGCCCAGGCTCTGAATAAGAATCCGGCTGGACTCAGAGGTGCTGACTGAAGGATGACCTGCTCAGGTTTGAAGAATAGGTGTTTCTCAGTCTGTGTGATCACGAGGTACTAAAGGGACCAGTTATCAAGCATCAAAGAACAAAAAATCATATCACTGTGTGCTCATCTCCATATGATCGCTGAAGACAAATGGGTGCATAAGCAAATGTGGCGAAGAAAGCTGTTGGTGCCTGGCTATCAAAAGATATAGCGTTTGGGGTCTTAAAGGCTTGAAATAAACAAGCGGCCATCTAGCTCAGAAGCAACAAAGCCCACATGGAAGAAGCATACCAGCCTGTGAAGTCACAAGGCGTCGAAGGGATAAGGGATCAGGCATCATCAGAACAAAAAATCTAATCATAGTGAATGAGTGGGGGAGTGCGGGGTGGAGACCCAAAGCCCATTTGTAGGCCACTGGACATCCCCTTACAGAAGGGTCTGGGGAGGAGATGAGCCAGTCAGGGTGCGATGTAGCAATGATGAAACAAACATACAACTTTCCTCTAGTTCCTAAATGCTTCCTGCTCCCCCCCCCCAACCCCCACCGCTATCATGATCCCAATTCTACCTTGCAAGTCTGACTAGACCAGAGGATGTACACTGGTACAGATAGGAACCGGAAACACAGGGAATCCAGGACAGATGATCCCTTCAGGACCTGAGGTGTGAGTGGCGATACTGGGAGGGTGGAGGGAGGGTGGGGTGGAAAGGGGGAACCGAATACAAGAATCTACATGTGACCTCCTTCGTGGGGGACAGACAACAGAAAAGTGGGTAAAGGGAGACATCGGACAGGGCAAGATATGACAAAATAATAATTTACAAATTATCAAGGGTTCGTGAGGGAGGGGGAGGGGAAGGGAAGGGAAGGGAAAAATGAGGAGCTGATGCCGATGGCTTTAAGTGGAGAGGAACTGTCTTGAGAATGACGAGGGCAATGAATGTACAAATGTGCTTTACACAATTGATGTGTGTATGGATTGTGATAAGAGTTGTATGAGCCCCTAATAAAACGATTAAAAAAAAGAACAGGTGTTTCTCTGACGAGGGGCATAGAACGGATGCCAGGGGTCTTGCTTGCTCTGAGTTCAGAAGTCAGCGGCCACGCCGAGGAAGCCCGAAGTGATCTGAGCCAGAGGAGAAGTCTAAGCCAGTGGTTCTCAACTTTCCTGCCACGACCCTTTAATACAGTTCAAGTTGTGGTGACTCCCCCCATCATAAAATTATTTTCATTGCTACTTCATCATTGTCATTGTGCTGCTGTGACGAATCGTCAAGATGAATCTGATCTGCAGGATGTATTAGGCGACCCCTGTGAAAGGGTCGTTCAACCCCCAAAGGGGTCGCAACCCACAGGTTGAGAACCACTGGTCTAAGCCCTCCTAGGTATTCACCTTGTCGGTTGTCTCGGGGAACTGCTGCGACGATCCAGGCGTCCCCGCACTGCTGCACAATGGCAGATTTCGCACATCCTCCGGGGAGTGTCCGGAGACTGGTTTTGCACTAGACATTTCTGTATTCCCACCACGATCGGGTAGCACTTTTTCATGAAATTTGTGAAAACCAGAGACACTTTTCTGGATCTAAAACTCGATTCTGCAGCACCTCAAGGGAGAGGCAGCCGAGGGAAAAGCTGGAGCAGGAATCCCGGGGAGTGGCAATTCGAGGTCAGAACGAAGCACCCCCCCAGGAATGAAGCCTCCTCCCGAGTTGGGGCCTTAGCCATCAGCACCATCCTTCGGCTCCTGAAGAAAAGCCTGGGCCCCTCAGCACTCCCCCATTGGGGAGCGAAAGTACCAGGATTTTTGGTCACAATGACATTTTGGCTTTTTCCCCCGAAGGAGAAATGGCACAAGCGAATGGGGTGATAAGACAGACTCATGTTACTCAGGCTCCTGTGTTCTGGCCCCCAACTTTTCCTTTTCTTCCCAAGGGAAAGAGCACGAGGTCAATCGTTATCATTTTATCTTTATCCTAAAGCCTTGGCCTTTCTGTTATAGGCAAACACAAACTCACTGCAAAGCTTGTCTTGTCATGCCGCACGGTAACGTGGGGCCCGTAGAGACGTCCAAACAGTCCACTGCTTGTAGTTATGAGCCCATGAAGGGATGCCCATAAACCCAAGTGGACCACTGGCCCCGAAACAGCCTCTTTCTCCGGCAAGACGACCAGTGTCTCTGGGTGTGCGGCCCTAGGCCCTGTGCTGCCCAGGTGGGCAAGCACAAAGGCTAGCAAGTTTTGAGCTGAAGACCACGGACACAGCCCCTTCTCCGGCTCTGCAATGAACGAAAAAATTCATTGCAAAGGAGCACATCCATTGAGGTTAAAAAAAGGCCTGCATTCCTAGGGACAGGAGAGACTCTGGCTAACCTCATCAAGCGAGGACTTCCAACGGTGGGCTACCGACTGATTATTTCTGCCCAAAGACCTCTAAAGACCAGTCAGTGCAGACTCGTCGCAACCCCCTGTGGGTTTCTGAGACGGTAACTGTTCACGGAGTAGAAAGCCCAGTCTTTCTTCCTCGGAGCTGCTGGTGGTGTTGAGCTGCCAACCAGGCCGACCGCAGCCCGGCACAGAACCACTACCCCACCGACGGCTCCTCTGCCCAGGGCTTCAGTCAGAAGACATCAAAGTCCCCTTGGTCCTCTTGGCGGCTAAGAAATCAGACCCTCCTTAACCAACCAGGTCCCGGGATCACGGGTGCCCAGGGAAATCTGTACATAGTGGTGAGTCAAAAGTCTCAGTGGCAGGCAACAGAGATCGGTCTACCCCAGGCTTTCTTCTCTCGGCCCTGGTTGGCTTCCTGGGAAACAGGAAGGCTGGGAAAATTGCTTGAGGTCTCAAAGCCCCATAGGTAAGAAGGGTCACAGGGTCCCTGTGAGATAAGAGAACACACGGAGCACTGAGTTTGGTGCATGGCCCAGGGGGAACAACACTGTAACCGTTGGGTGCTTCCCTAGAGATACGCACGTGTGGAGAAACGCCAGGTCCGTGAGGAGAGAAAGACAATGGGAGCAGGAGACAGAGAATGCTACAGGCTATCCACGTGCTAGAGAAAGCAAGTGTCACCTAGCCGTTTCCACGGGGCAGAGACACACCCAAGACAGTCCTAAAGTTTGCAGCACTAAGATCCCATCCTACTGTATACCGAGGCAGACACAAAATGGGATGCCAGGTGCACGGTCCCCGTTAACAAGACCAGCACTTGACCTGCAGGCTTAGCCCTTTTCTGAAGACGGAGTCAAAGTAAAGTCCTGCCCCCAAACATTTGCTTGTCTCCAAACAAGCAGCCATCTAAGTGAGATGTCAACTGAGTCCACATGGAAGCAGCACACCGTCATCAGTCACTGAAGGACTGTAAGTCACATAATCCGATGTTCAAGGAGGGGCCAGTATCAGAGCCTACACTGTGAGAATCTGGTGTGCAGGAGAGGGATGACAGTGGGAGCCAAGATTCATTTGTATTGGATCTACAAAGGAAATAAGCCTTCGGAGAGCTCCCCCTATATAAAATTGAGGGATGGGAGGGAAGTGGTCACTAAACAGAGTGCTTGGGAGAGAGGAGTATAAAAAATCAAAGGCATAAATCGGACCTAACAGTTAAAACTTGGCCAGTAGATTGCCCTTATGATGCAGGCTGGACCTGATCTGGTTTCCAAAATTTTCTGTATTTTTGGTTTGTATTGTTTTGCTTGGGTTTTGTTTGTTCATGTCAGTGGATCTCAGAGGTGTTATGTCAATGCAGGTCACCCAGGCTTGATGCACCTACAGCGACAGCAAGCAGAAGAAGGGCTTCGGGGGAGGAGGATGCAGTGGGGGGTGGGGGGATTTAAAGGGAGACAATGCCAAGGAGTCCATGTAGAAAAAGAATGTTTAGAAACTGATTGTAGTAGCAATTGTAAAATTACTTCTACTTGACGTGATTGAAATATAGAATGATATATGTACAAAATCCCAACTAATAACAATAATAATAAAAGCAGATACTGTAACATATTGGTGTTCTATTTTGTGTTTTAATATGAAATACATAAAAATATATATGTATGAAATACATGATTCAATGTACATTTGTTGAATGTACTTGAAATACTGAATTTTGAAAAATCACAAATTCCCTACTGGTTAAGAAATCGAAATAAAAAAAAAAAAAGAAATCGAAATTCTTCATTGTCATAATTTAAGTCTTGTGGCTCTTTAAGTATTTTTATCTTCTCCTTCATAGTTTTGTCTAGGAAACAAAATGTACTAAGCTTGGAATCAACTGTTGGAGACGTCTAACATAAAAACATTTAAAACTGCACCCCTTTTATCTCCAGGGGCAATTTTGAACTTCAGTTTCGGATCTGATCCTTTTTGTTTGGGGACCTGATGGTGTGTGTGAAGCACGCCGCTGAAAGAGTGGCTCTCTGCTGGGAGGGACAGCTAGGATGGCTTTCTTTCCTGGGCTCCGGACTGCTCCTGGGCTTTGAGTCTCCGCAGCTTCTTCTCATAGAGACCGATGAAGTAATCATCGGGTTCGACTCCTGCTTTCCGCAAATTTTCCATGATCTTTTCCAGTCTGGGCACCGATGAGGCGCTGGCAATCTTCCTGGTGCTCAAGTACAGGGTGAACTCCCGGAAACCCAGGAGTTTGCAGGTGTCCACGGCACAGATGTTCCTGACACCGTGTGTCCGGTCCAGGTCAGGAAAGAACACCAGGCCCGACCACCGCTCGAGGTCCTGGAGGCTCACCTGGAACTCCGTCAACGGGGGCTGGAAGCTGATGGCCTCATTGGGCACCACAAAGGCCCCCAGGGCCAGCGGTTCCGAGGACACCGGGCTTCTGCGCGCCAGGATCACTTTATAGAGGTGGGAGGGGACGGCCACGTTGTCCTGACCAATCACCTGAGGACAGAGCAGTCGGGTTAGTGCGGGTCATCTGGGTCAGCGGTTTCTGACGATGCGTTGATAAACCACCCATATCCATCCCACTGACTGTACGCGCACAGCTGAAAACACAACCCCCCACCCCCTCACTGCCATCCAGTCAGTTCTGACTCGCTGCCAAGTGGATGCTGACTCACGGTGACACTAGTGGCCTAACGCTTATGCACTGGGGTGCTAGCCCCCAAGGTTTGCAGTTCAAAACCGCCAACTGCTCCTTGGGAGAAAGACGAGGCTGTCTACTCCCGTAGAGAGTGACAGTCTCAGAGACCCACAGGGACAGTTCCACTTTGTCCTACAGGGTTGCTGAGAGTCACCGCATGGAGCAGGGGTCACATTCTCTGCTGTGTGTTTGTGGGACAAAAGACAAGGACTGTCAGGGGTGAGTCCCCGGGGAGAATTGTCACTTCCCCTGCGCCTCACAATCAGAGTCTCTGATGCTCTCACCATCCCGAGGCCCAAACTCCCAGCTCTGGAAAGGGACGAGGCCCGAGTTGATCGAGTTCACCAGGAGCGAAGCAAGCAGCGGCTAGAGAAGCAGCCAGGCAAGTCACAGCGCACCAGGCTCTCCGGTACCACCTCAGCGGTGGCTCATTTTAAGAACAGAATTGGGGATCCCTAAACGCTGCTGGCTGAGGCCCTGCTGTCCAACAGAGGGCTTCAGGCCGAGTCATCCCGCCAAACGTTCTGAACAAGCAGCCACCGGGAGAAAGCCCGGGCCAGGGTCAGTCTCACAAGCACAGCGTGGCTGCCGGTGGAGGCTGGCTGAAATCACGAAATAACGGTGTTATGAAGCCTTTTCAAATGTCCTTCCAATTGGCTTAAAAGCCCGATCTGTTTTCTGGACAAGAAAAACCGAGCATCCACTTCTGTAATGGTCCCAGGCCGAATGACATAATCTCACTAAAAGACGCTCCTGGCAGCACTGCCCCGCCCGGTCCGTCCTCCCTCCGTCAGCGCAGGTATTTCCCACAGCTGCTCGCGCCCCCGCGGGGAGCCCAGAGAAAATGGAGGGGTGAGAGCGGCACAGGGGGGTTTTCTCTGCATTTTCTGGGCGTCCCCCTGCATGGCCCCCCTCAGAAGGCCACCGCTGTCGGCTGTCTGCCAGTCACACGCAGCAGAGGTCCCACCGCCCAGGCCAAGCTCCAGGGCTGCCGGGAAGCCCCCCCCCGACCACTGTCTTCGAAGAACCTGAGCAGGGTCGGTCAGAGTGGGGCTTAGGAGTGAAGTTTAGCAAAGGACACTCTGTAGACACAGACCCGGCCCCTGCCCGACGCGTCATTCCCGCAGCTGAGATGGCTCACATGCTCCTCAAAGCAGAAAGTTCAGGGGGCTTCGGGACGTCGGTGGGACAATCCCATGACCTTTGGATTCTATTTCACCCCCGAATGTTTCTGAAACGCCCCTGTCAGTAACGGCTAACCCTACGGCAGGCCACCGATCACCAACTGCCGAGAGGCCCTGATCCCAGCCCTGCTCAAGACCCTGAGCGGCATGGCCACCTCGTGGGGGAGGCAACACCCACAGCGTCCGTGGCTGTCTGGTTGGATGTCGGGGCGGGAAGCGAGGGCACAGCCGCAGCTGAGCCCCAGTTCACAGGGGGAGAAGCCGGAGTTCCGCCCCGGCTGGGAATGCCAGCCAAGCAGGCTCCCGGTGCCACCTGGTGGACGTCCCCACCGCTGCCGCGCAGGGCTCAGCGCCAACCACAGAGCCAGCCCTGCAGACACTCAGGGAAGGTACTCTCTTCCCCTGGGTAGACAAACAAATGGCAATTTTCAAAAATAATTGGTCATGTCCATTTGCTGCGGAACGGAGGTTCTAATCAGGTCCACTGACTCACAGCCCAAAGCCGTGAAGCTTGACATTTAAAGCTCCGGCTCTACCTCATGGAAATGTACCATTGCTATTTGGTTTCGGGAAACCGACGGTAGTGGGAGAGCCCCCACTTCCACATTCGGGAAGCAGATATTCCGACAAAAAAACAAAAGGCATCAATCACTCTTCCATCCGTGATCTTCCCACAGCATTTCAACAGAGCGGGGGTGATGACTATCCAGACAGAGAGAGAGAGAGAGAGAGAAATAACTCCCTCCGCCCTTCATGGCCTCCTAGTCAGTCTGCTCTGTTCTCGGGGATGAACTATCCTGAACTTACCACACAGAACAGTCAGACCTAGTGAGAAATTCCAGAAAACCCTTGTTCCTTGGTTTTAAAATTTAACTTATAAAAAGAAATCAATCTTAAACTATTTTGAGACCATCTTCTTTGTAGGCAACGGAACCTGCATAGGTCCCCCTCCCCCCGCCCCCCCTGTTGGGGGAAACTGGAAGATGTTGAGAAAGATGTTTCCAGAAAGTATGGGCGTGCTAAAGGCGAGCGGGTCGCTGGACCGGCGGCCCTGGCACCTGGTGGGGTACTGGCTGGGCCCCGGGCTGCAGGTTCCCATTCACATGCACCGTCTTCTCCTCTCACACTACGGGTAACACAAAGCAAAAGAACCGCTCACAGAACCGCTAGGAAGACACACGGGTGTGTTCGTTTAAAGACTGTTTTAAGTTGCCATCCTCATTTTCAAAACATTCTTTCTACTTGAGCCCTTGGTATCAGCTCATTTTCTCCCTCCCTTATGAACCCTTGATAATTTACAATTTTTTCCCCCATGTCTTACACCAACCGCTGTCTCCCTTCACCCACTTTTCTGTTGTCTGTCCCCCTGGGAGGTGGTTATATGTCGATCATTGTGATTGGTTCCCCCATTCTCCCCCCACCTTCCCCTTACCCTCCTAGTATCTCTATTCTCATTATTGGTCCTGAGGGGGTTTATCTGTCCTGGATTCCCTGCGTTGCGGTTCCCCTGCACATGCTCTGGTCTAGCCGGATTTGTAAGGTAGAATTGGGATCGTGATAGTGGAGGGGAGGAAACATTAAAGAACTAGAGGGAAGTTGTATGATTTATTGGTGCTATACTGCACCCTGTCTGGCTCATTTCTTCCTTGTGACGCTTCTATGAGGGGATGTCCAATTGTCTACAGACGGGCTTTGGGTCTCCACTCCACACCCTTCCTCATTCACATTGATATGATTTTTTTGTTCTGGATCTTTGATGCTTGATACCTGATCCCATCAACACCTCATGATCACAAGGCTGGTGTTTTGAAAATGATGATGGCAACATATGTACAAATGTGCTTGACACAAGGGATGGATGTATGGATTGTGATAAGAGCAGTATAAGCCCTCAATAACATGAATTTTTTAAAAAAAGAATGATAATTTATCAAGCAGTCATGGTGGGGGAACTGATACCAAGGGCTCAATATAAAGTAAATGTCTAGAAAATAATGATGGCAACGTATGTACAAATGTGCTCGATACAATTGATGTATGGGTTGTTATAAGAGCTGTAAGAGTCCCCAATGAAATATTCTTCTAATTAAAAAAAAAAAAAAGATTATTTTAAGATCCCCGGCACCTATGTAAAAAGCTCTTCCTGTCTAGATGTGCTTCTTCAGAAGCTGGGAATAACTGTGGTGGTTTTTGTAAGGGGCAGGGCGGAAACGAGGGAGGGTTTAGGACCTGACTAGTTAAAAGACAGCAGTGCTGGGAGGGAAGGTGGGCTGGGCACAAAGGGTCCCCAAAGGAGCCCTGGGCTTCAGTATCTGTCCGTCAGTCGGCAGCAATGATCACTCTTCAGATAAGACTAGCTTTCGACATCTTAACGTATTTCACAAAAGCCCTCTTTGCCTTCAACTGCCAAAAAGCCCTCACTCGCGTGTCAAGGCTGCGTTAAGAACTAGAAACCAACTGGGTGTGCCGAGAAAAATACAACCCATGAGGAGGCTCCCACGCCGCTCGCGGGAAGACGGAATACTGATGCCGATAGGATTTTCCCGTGAGCACTGAGAAGCCCCCTCGTCGGTACCACAGCCGAGTGGCTCTCACGCGAGACCTGAAACGCTCTCTCTTACGTGCTGGCTGAGCTTGTTGCATCCCACCCGAGAGACAGGCAGAAATGACACACACACACACACACACACACACACACACACACACACACACACCCCTGCTGCTGACTCGGTGCCTGGAGGGACGGGCACAGGCAAGACCCCGCTAAGCCTGGCCATGTACAGTGATGTGCTCACCAACTGTGCCTTACAGGCAGTACGAAGCAGGCCCAGGAGGGAAGGGAAAAAATGTATCGCTAGAATCAAACATTTGGTTATATTCCCCTGGTAAGAAAGAAAATAACTAATTCCAAAAGTAAGACTGCTGGAACCCAGCCAGAAAACGGGCCCTTAAAGTCACACCACACTAAGAGTGGATGGATGGATTGTGCTAAGAGCTGTAAGAGACCCAGTAAAATGATTTTGTTTAAAAGTCACACCAATCCAGCGACAGAAACCAGGCTATGTTGGCAAACAGGGAGGCCACGCTGAGGCCACAGGAGGAAGCGCAGCTGTGTCCACCCGGCAGAGGGAGGTCAGCTCGTGGGAGGGTGGGGGGGTGGCAGTTGGTGTCTCCCAGTCAGATCAGAACAAGCGCCCCCTCCCAGCACGGACGGGGCCTCTTTGTGAAGGTTGAATGAAAAGTAAAACAAACAGATGTGTAAACTAAACGTTTCTAAGAACTCAGGAGACTTAGGAAAAAGAGAAAATCTCTCTTCCGGGAATGCGTCAGGATCCCTGGAGGCATGTTCCCAATATTCTCCCCCACCAAGAGGAAACGGCGGAAGTGCTGCTGATGCAGCAGACAGACAGACAGATGTCCAGCGACTAACGGTGAGTGATGAGATTGGAAGCCGGCTCTCTCGTCAGGTGAGCTATGCCGCCCCGGCAGCCACGCCAGGTATGTTTCATCTCTTCTGGAAGCTGGCACCTCAGAGAGTGCCCGGGTGACCTCGACTGTAATGAAGGGGTGACTCTGATGAGAGTTGCCAGATGACTCACTGCTGATGAAATCAC